GGTGGGAGCGCCGGATACTTCTCAGGCTGAACCCAGTCCTTTTCTGAAGACTAGAAGCGGGGGGGGGGGGGGCACTCCAGCTAGGAGCCTGAGCCTCATATTTTAATTTCCATAGACGTCCTATGTGCATTTCAAAAATTAAATAGCAACTGAACGGCAACCACCATGCTGGGGTTCGGGGTAGTAATGATGCCTTTTTTATTTTCTTTTTTTGGCTGTTAGCCTTCACACGCCACATTTAATCAGAACCTCTTACATGCCCATTCTGTGCATTTGATATGTATTAGTCCTTTAGTTTGAAGGACCCACCTGGATAGATTTTTTTTTTTAATATATTTTTTTATTGATTTCAGAGAGAGAGATAGAAACATCAATGATCAGAGAGAATCATTGATTGGCTGCCTTCTGTATGATGCCCCCCACTGGGGATTGAGCCCACAACCGAGGCATGTGCCCTAGACTGGAATCGAACATGGGACCCTTCAGTCCGCAGGCTGATGCTCTGTCCACTGAGCCAAACCAGCTAGGGCCATTCATTTTTTATTTATTCCTGCCTTTTCCCTCAAATTTGCTCCTCCTCAACCTTTCCTAGCTCAGCTCAAGCCTTAACCTCTGGAGCCATCCTCAACTCCATCCTTTACCTGGATTCTGCATCCAATTGGATTAGAGGTCCCATCAGCTCCACCTTTATACTATAGCCAGACTCCATCCAATCTCCTCCCAGGGGCTGTCCCCATCCCGTCTCCCTGCTCCAGCCCCTGTGCCTCCTCCCCCAGTCTGTTCACCACACAGCCAGGGGGCACCTGCACACCACACCAGTTGCCATGGCTGTGGTTTAAAACGACAGAAGTTTCTTCTCACATTTCTGGAGGCTAGAACTCCAAGATGAAGGTGTTGGCGAGGGCATGCCACCCTCCCCAAGGCTCTGTTCCCTGGCTCTCCCAGAATCTGGTGGCTCAGGCATATCTGAGTTTACGGCTGCGTCACTCCAAACTCTTCTGTCTCTGAGACACCTGTCCTTCGATTTAGGGCCTACCCAGATAATCCTTAATTAGATTAGCACTGCAAAGACTTTTTTTTTCTCTTTTAAGTTTTACTTTTCAATTAGTTTACATTTAGTATTATTTTGTGTTAGTTTCAGGTGTACAACCATATACAACCATATACTTCATCAAGTGTTCCCCTGATATTCCCAGTACCCCCCTGGCATCATGCATACTTATTACAATATTACTGTGTTCCCTATGCTGTCCTTTACATCCCTGTGACTATTCTGTTACTACCAATTTGTACTTCTTTTTGTTTGTTAATCCTCACTGGAGGACATTTTTCCCATTGATTTTTAGAGAGTGGAAGGTAGGGAGAGGGAGAGAAACACCGATGTGAGAGAGATACTTCTGTGCACAGGCTGACGCTAATCGGTTAGCCACACTAGCCAGAGCCCAATTTCAGAGAGAGAGATAGAAACATCATAATCCCTTCACCTTTTTCATCTCCCCTCTGGCACCCATCAATCAGTCTGTTCTCTGTAAGGACCCTTTTCCTGAGTGTCACACTCACAAGTTCCAGGGGTAATGCCCACATCAGATAAATCTTTTTGAGGCCACAATTCAGCCCACCACATCACCAAAGGCAGAACCCTCCTCTGCCCAGGCCCTGCCCTTACCATGGTCCAGGTCACCCTGTATGATCAGCTCCTGTCACCTCCCAGGCCCATCCCCTCGGCCTCTCTGAGCGCCTCCTGTGCTAAAGACCCACTGGCCTCCTTCTGCTTGGAACACTTCCCTAAGGAAGTCCAGGTAGCTCCTTCCCTCCCCTCCTTCAAGTTTTTTTCTTAGGTTCCCCTTCCCTGAGAGGCCTCCCCTGACTTTAATTAAAATTTCAAACACCCCAACCCCACTCTTACCCCTCTCACTCCTCCCTGATTCTCTAGAGTACTTATTACTATAATTTACACGTAATTTACTTGCTTTGCTGTTTGTCTGTCTTTCCTCAGGTCTATTTTGTTCACAACGTTATCCCCAGTGCCTAAAACAATACCAAGTACACAGATACTCAATAAATATGTGTAAAATTCATGAAGAACTTTATGAAAAGCAAATGCTATTGTTGCCATGCCCATTTTGCAGATGGAGATACTAAGGCACAGTTGCATTGTCATTTTTCTTTTTTCTTTTTCTTTTTTAATATATTTTATTGATTTTTTTTTACAGAGAGAAAGGGAAAGAGAGAGATAGAGAGTTAGAAACATCGATGAGAGAGAAACATTGACCAGCTGCCTCCTGCACACCCCCCTACTGGGAATGTTCCCGCAACCAAGGTACATGCCCTTGACCGGAATCCAACCCGGGACCTCTCAGTCCACAGGCCGACGCTCTATCTACTGAGCCACACCGGTTTTGGCGAATTGTCATTTTTCAAGGTCATACAGTCACATAAGTGTGGAGGCTCATATATGAATCGGACACCTGGCCCTGGCACCCACCTTACAGTACTAGTGTTTAGCTTTGATGAAAGTACAACAGAAGTTACCACTAAGCCCGTCACTCCAGTCCCTGTGATCACTATAGACTCTGAAAGCCAAAAGGTCGCTACCATTTCAGTGAACTCCCTCTGTTTGGGGTTTACTAGAGGCATCCCTAGGCTCAGTGTGTTCAGTCCTATCCCTCACTCTCCAAGCCTCACTGCTCCCTCAGTTTTGCTCTTGTTCACCTCACCTTTCCTAATTTCACATCTGCTGTTCCAACCCCTTAATCTTAATACAACATTTCTCACCAAGGCCTTTGCAAATAAATAAAAGGCAAGTCCTGGCTGGTGTGCTCAGTGGTTAGAGTGTCAGCTCACGGACCAAAGGGTCATGGGTTCAGGTTCAGGGTCAAGGGCACCTACCTGGTTGGTGAGTTCGCTTCCAGCCCTTGGTGGGGGACACATGCAAGAGGCAACCAGTCCATGTGTCTCTCACATCAACGTTTCTCTCTCTTCCCACTCCCCCCCCCCTTCCACTCTCTCTGAAAAAAACAATGGAAAAAATATCCTCAGGTGAGAGTTAACAAAAAAATAAAAGGCAAAAGTTGTTTCCTGCCCCATACCTCCTTCCCCACCCTGAAACCCTGCTACCAACCACCTCTAAGACTGTTATCTCCTGGTTGCCTTCTGCTTCTGGTGATCCCAGATAACCTTGGCCTGTTGCCATTTCTTACAACATTTGTCTCCCTGCAGTGAGAGGATGTGTCTAGCTGAGCTTTACCTTCCCCAACCTGGGATCCTGAAAATAGAAACACACTAAAAACACAGTTCTCGCCCACCCCCAAGTCCCACTCTCAAGGCAACCACTTCTGACTCTTCTCTCAAAAATATACTTTTCTACACTTATCTCTCAACTTCCTGCCTGCCTGGGGGGAGGGGGTCCTGCCCCCTTTCATTGACAGAAGTGGCTGGGGAAGGCTTCTCCAATTTATATCTGCATTAATCCTCTTTGGGAGATAAGGGACTGAGATTCAGAAACTATTTTTAAAAGAATCCCTATTAGTTGACTTTTTAAAAAATGATAAATCAAGTAAAATAGACTCCAACAGAAAACCCACCCTGGTCTTCCCATCCAGAGTGTGGGCTGTTACCCCACTTTGACGTCTCCATTTTCTAAGTTTTTAAAACATTAACTTATGCCGGTTTGGCTCAGCAGTAGAGCGTCGGTCTGCGGACTGAAAGGTCCCAGGTTCAATTCCGGTCAGGGGCATGCACATTGGTTGCCGGCACATTCCTGGTATGGGGTGTGCAAGAGGCAGCTGGTCAATTTTTCTCTCTCATCGACGTTTCTAGCTCTCTATCTCTCTCCCTTCCTCTCTGTGAAAAATCAATAAAATATATATTTTTTTAAAATGTGTAAAACATTAACTTATGTGTTTATGTTTGATTAGGCAATGTATGCCTATGGTACAAAACCTCACAAGGTCTGTACACGAGGAAAGATGGGGGGGCGGGGGGGAGGTGTCTTTTTTTTTTTTTTTTAATTCTCACCCGAGAGTATTTCTCATCGATTGTAGAGACAGGGGGAGAAGCATCCCTTGGCTGCCCCCCTTCGCCCCCCATCAGACTGCCTGGCTGTAAGCAGGAGGCTGTGCCCAGCCCCGCCGCCCTGGGGGACCGGGGCCCCTTTCTTTACCTGTGGCTTCCCTACCTAGTACGGGGGCTCTGGGGTCGGGAGCTGCAAAGACATCCCCCAGCTCCGTATTCTCTCCTCCCCGCCCCCCCCCCAGGCGGGCGGGACCATACCTGGGGGCCGGCCCCCAGGCCCTGCGCAGACTCCCTGCTGCAGTGGGCGGGGCCTCCGCGGTCCCGCCCCGCCTTCCCTCGCCCCCGTTCAGCCAGTCGGGGCAGAAGCTGGGGCCCCCGCGGAGTAAGCAGCTGCAGCTCGCAGACCAAAGCCGAGGCCTCTCGGGTAGGGGAGGGGAGGAGGGCTGGGGGTGGGCTGGGAGCTGGCGGGAGGCCCGGGATGGCCCTGGGCTCCCGGCCTGAGCGGGCTGGTGGGCACCTGAGGGTCAGAACCGAGGAGCCACCTGGAAGATGCTCCCGAGGCCGGAGAGCCAGGCTCAAAGGTGTGGGGTTCCGCCGAGCTGACCCGGTCCCAGGCAGTCTCTTTGGGAATATGGAGATTAGAGCTCAGAGAAGGAGCTAGTGGGTTGCAAAATGGACACTGAATGGGCGGCTGCCGCATATAATTGGGAAGAAAGCTAGAGGCGTTAGAGCTTGAGAGATTTCAAAATCCCTGCTGACCAAAGGTCTGCTTCCTCCTTTTGGGCGGGCCGGCTCCGTGCCAGTGACCCCCGTGACCATCGGCAGAAACCCAGTGGATCCCGTGACCCCCACAGTGATCAGCCTTCTGTGGTGTCTTCCAAAAGCTCAGGACACCCCTCACAGTGCCAGCTTTTGTTCCCACAGTTTGGAGACCCTGTTACACCCCCTTTCCTACCGCACTCTGCGTGTCGCTGGCTGCCTGCAAGATGAAGCATAAAGTGATGTATCAGGAGGTAGGTGGATGGGGCCCCAGTGGGGAGGAACTGGGCACAGGGGAGAGTAGGGGCTCCCATGTCACCCCCAAACCATCCTTGTTGTTCCCCAGCTGAAGTTCTTGGCTGAGGAGCCTGCCAGCGGGCTGCGCCTGAATAAGTTCGAGGCATTGAAGGCTGCCGAGAAGGTAGGATCCCACTGCCTTGGTCTGTCTCGGGCGTGGGCTGGGCTGTGCCCTGGGCTGTGCCCTGGGCTGGCTGACCCCCTCTTCTCACAGAAAGCCCGCTGGGGCCTGGTGGTCCTCATCCTGGCGCTTGTGGGTTTCATCGCTATGATAATTCAGCTCTTATGGGGATACGACAACTTTCATCTCTTCGGAGGCAACCAGTCCCCAGCACCCAACCTTGACTGCGAGTAAGTGGGGAAACAGAGAGCCTGGGATGGTGCGGGGAGAGGCCCTGACAAGCCAGGGACACTCAGACACACCAGGAAGGGCCGGCATCACCCAGTGCCGGTGACTGGGAGGTGATTGTAGACTCCCAATTGCACCGTCACAGGTTCTTCCCGGCATGCCCACCCCATTCCCTGATACTGTTCCCATGGCAGCCACAGCAACACCTTCTGTCCAGGTGTGCGAAGAGACAGGCACACACAGACACGCACTGCATCATCTGTCCACATACACACGGATATCCACATCCACACCTTCCTTTCACACCTCTAGGCAGACAAATGCATGCATTCAAAGAATCGACTACAAGCACATCACGTGTGGGCGGGCAGACTGGTGAGCGGGTGGTCAGCTATGCCTGATCCCCACCCCCACCCCACCCCCCCGTCCTGCAGAGCAGTGCTGGTGGAGAGCATCCCTGAGGGCCTGGACTTCCCTGGGGCCTCCGTGAGCAACCCCTCCACCAGCCAGGCCTGGCTGGGCCTGCTCGCCCGAGCCAATAGCAGCCTGGACATCGCCTCCTTCTACTGGACCCTCACCAGCAATGACACCCACATTCAGGAGCCCTCTGCCCAGCAGGTACCTGGCCACCCGCGCCCGGGTGGGAGGCGTTAGGAGTGGGGTGAAAGGGGTTTCCCTGCAGCCCAGGACACAGGCAGGCATGTCTCATTCAGCGGGTTGGACACAGATGTTTGGAAGCGGCTGTCTTCACCTGGCCCTCTGGATGTCGGGTGTGGGTTTGTTACCAGGCATTAGGCTGGCAGATGTCACTTACTCACAGCTGCCCTGACCCTGTCACACCGAGAAATGGAAGAGCCGAGAGAGGAACAGCCCAGCCTCTAGCCGGGTTGCCGCTTCCCTTGGGCAGGTCACCTCCGCTCTCAGCTTCCGTTTCCCCATCTGTGGAATGGGGCCAGTGTGTATCGCCCACCCCTCAGGAGGATGCAACGGGCCCATCCATGCAAACTATAGCGTGGTGCCGGACACAGTGAGCCCTTTATAAGTGTTTGTTGTTATTAGATTCTTGTTATGGTCTGCAGACAAACCTAAAAACCATAAAGCTTCAAGGTCTGGGGAGGAACAGTCTAGATGGGTCACCCCTTCATTGAAAAATGCAGACGTTTCCCCTTTTTTTCTCTTCCTGCCGCCTCTTTCTGTGAGGAATGAGCTGAAATGCATTTACACTGTGGGCACCCGAAAAAAATTACAAACGTTAGAAATGATAGGTACTCGCACTCCTTGCTGCTCCCACTGGAGTGGTTCAAAGCACAAGCACAGGCCAAGGAGGCAGGCAGTCTGGGTTCAAGTCCCGCTTCTGCCCTGAGTCCTCCGGCTGCTTCCTCACGGCCACCACGGGGATGTGACCCAGACTTGCCTCCTCGGTGAGAGAGGTGAGAATTCAGTGAGCTCATCGTGAAGGGCTTAGAGCAGGCCCCTCTCACAGTAGGAACGAGGGAATCAAGGGCTGTTACTGTTACTGCTATTGGCATCACCAAGCCTCACCTGTACCTTCCCAGACCCCCAGCCCAAGCCAGACCCTCAGTGTCCTGTAAAGTGCCTGGAGGCCCTGGTGGCACCAGGCATTGACACTTCCAAGGTGGGATCTTGGGAAGGTCCTTGGAATGGCACAGGAGAGGCAGGGAGGCCCTGACGAAGCTCAGAGTGGCCAGTTATTAAAACAGATAAAGATTTTACCATCTTAGCCGAAACCGGTTTGGCTCAGTGGATAGAGCATCCGCTTGGGGACTGAAAGATCCCGGGTTCGATTCTGGTCAAGGGCATGTACACTGGTTGTAGGCACATCCCTATTGGGGGGGGTGCAGGAGGCAGCTGGTCAATGTTTCTCTCTCATCGATGTTTCTAGCTCTATTTCTCTCTCCCTTCTTCTCTGTAAAAAATCAATAAAATATATTTAAAAAAAAAAAAAAAAAAAAGAGCCAAAACCGGTTTAGCTCAATGGATAGAGCGTCGGCTTGGGGACTGAAGGGACCCGGGTTCGATTCCGGTCAAGGGCATGTACCTTGGTTGCGGGCACATCCCCAGTAGGGGGTGTGCAAGAGGCAGCTGATTGATGACTCTCTCTCATCGATGTTTCTAACTCTCTATCTCTCTCCCTTCCTCTCTGTACAAAACCAATAAAATATATTTAAAAAAAAAAAAAAAAAGATTTAGCCGAAACCGGTTTGGCTCAATGGATAGAGCGTCGGCTTAGGGACTCAAGGGACCCGGGTTCGATTCCGGTCAAGGGCATGTACCTTGGTTGCGGGCATATCCCCAGTAGGGGGTGTGCAAGAGGCAGCTGATCGATGACTCTCCCACATCGATGTTTCTAACTCTCTATCTCTCTCCCTTCCTCTCTGTATAAAATCAATAAAATATATTAAAAAAAAAAAAAAAAAAAGATTTACCATCTTAACCTGTAAAGCCATCCCTAGGCACACAGGCTAATAAAAGCCACTCACTCCTGATCTTATCTGGAAGCCCAGTATCAAAACAACCTATGGGCCCTAACCTGTTTGGCTCAGTGGATAGAGCGTCGGCCTGCAGACTCAAGGGTCCCAGGTTTGATTCTGGTCAAGGGCATGTACCTTGGTTGTGGGCACATCCCCAGTGGGGGGGGGGGGGAGTGCAGGAGGCAGCTGATTGATGTTTCTCTCTCATTGATTTTTCTAACTCCATCCCTCTCCTTTCCTCTGTAAGAAAATCAGTAAAAATATTTTTTTAAAAACAAAACCCCATGGGGGTGCTGTGTGGGGTTGGAGAGCTGGCTGGACCAGCCCCTCAGAGGCTGTCTCCCTCCTGACCCTGAACCCCCTTCCCAAGGGTGAGGAGGTCCTCCGGCAGCTCCAGACCCTGGCATCCCGAGGTGTGAAGGTTCGCATTGCTGTGAGCAAGCCCAGCGCGGCCCAGCCTCAGGAGGACCTGCAGACCCTGCAGGAGCATGGTGAGCTGGGCAGCGGGGCCGGGCTGGGCTGGGCTGGGCTGTCCAATCCGGCCCCTGACCACCACCCCTGTTGGCTGCAGGTGCCCAGGTCCGCACGGTGGATATGCAGAAGCTGACCCACGGCGTCCTGCACACCAAGTTCTGGGTGGTGGACCAGACCCACTTCTACCTTGGCAGTGCCAACATGGACTGGCGCTCCCTCACCCAGGTCCGCCTGCTCCCTGCCCACCCCCTTTCCAGGCCACTCCCTGCTCCACAAGGGCCAGCCTCCAGCTACACCCCTCTTCAACCCCAGAGTTCTCTCTTCAGTTCTCAATGGCTTCCTTCCCACTTTCTACCAGGAAAGCCCCCACATCCAGCCCTCTGCTGCCCTCCACTTGGCCCGGAAGCTGGGGGCTTCCTCTGGTCCCAGTGACAGCGGCCAGGCCCTCTGCGGGCATTCAAGGCCCAGCCCACCCCTCTGGGCTTCATCATCCATTCTCTGGGTGCCTCCTCTAGGCCCAGCTCTGTTCTGGGTAATGCCGGGAAAATGGAGGGAGCAGATGGACCTCTCTGAACGCCCAACCCAGTGCAGAGACAAGCCAGTCACAGGTGGTGCCAGCCCAGAGGAGTCAAGGCTGGGGTGGGGGAAGCACAAGCAGAGAGGGCCGAGCCAGGAAGGGGGCCCCACGCTGGGGTATCAGAAAGGCTCTCAAAGGAGCAATAGCTAATTGATAACTGGAGGATCTGTAGGAACCAGCACACAGGATAGAGAGTATAGCTAAGAAGTGATCATTTGCTCAGCCTCTAATCTCACCAACTCCTTGGGGAGATGCTGAACGTAAAGCTGTGGCTGAGACATCCCTGCCGTCTTTCCTCCCAGTCCAATGGGAGATGGGTTTGCCACCAGGGAGAGTGATGAGGGAAAGCCAAGGGACCAGGAGAGCCCAGAGGAATGCCTGAAGCAGCCTGGGCAGTCAGGGGAGGCTTCCTGGAGGAGGAAACTAGCAGCTGAAACCTAGGAATAAGCAGGAACTTCGTCACCGGAGGGTAGAAGTGACAGCATATGCAAAGGTTCAGGAAACCTGGAGCTTTAGGAAAACATTGATTTTCGTAAAAATTTGACTGAAGATATTAGTCTTGAGTCAAGTTCATGCCCATTCCAGGGCTTTAGATGGAGATCTGGGGGGGGTGGAGCTGAGGGGCAAAAAGAAGGGAGAGAGCCCACCCGGCATGGCTCAGTGGTTGACCTATGAACCAGGAGGTCACGGTTCGGTTCCCGGTCAGGGCATGTGCCTGGGTTGTGGGCTCAATCCCTAGTGTGGGGCGTGCAGGAGGCAGCCAATCAATGATCCTCTCTCATCATTGGTGTTTCTGTCTCTCTCTCCCTCTCCCTTCCTCTCTGAAGTCAATTAAAAAATATACAGGCGGTCCTTGGGTTACATTAGACTCGATGTACGTCATTTTGTGGTTACGTCACCATCTTCCATTCATTTATTTAAAAAAAAAAGAATTCCATCATTTCGACGTCTGTACATATGGGCTTTATGTTTTTTGTTATTTATTTACCACAAGTAAAGGTCAGAAATCGTTATATTTCTTTCAAAATTTTTTTACTGATTCACTTCATTACTGCTGGGTATGTGCTCCATGTGAGTGACGCAGGTGCTTATGTAGGTGGGTTCCAACTTACGGTGAAAATCACGTTACATCATGCCATAGCAATAAATCTCCAACAGAACCCGAGGACCTACTGTATATATATAAAAAAAAAAAATAAATAAATAAATAAATAAAAGGAAGAAGAAGAAGGGAGAGAGATGATTTTGAGGGGCATGGGAAGGAAGGGGCTGCTGTGGACATGAAGCCACTGCCCATGGCCCAGCATTCCCCTTCTGCAGGTCAAGGAGCTGGGCGTGGTCATGTACAACTGCAGCTGTCTGGCCAAAGACCTGACCAAGATCTTCGAGGCCTACTGGTACCTGGGCCAGGCGGGGAGCTCCATCCCGCCAACCTGGCCCCCGTCCTATGACACCCTCTACAATCAAAAGGCACCGATGAATATCTGCCTCAACGGCACCTCTGCTAAGGCCTACCTGGCGGTAAGTCTGAAGGAAGAGAGGCCTGTCACACCCTGGCCACGTGCTCTCACACAGCCTCCATCTAGCCCTGCCCAGGGATTGTGGGGAGAGGGTCCGGACCACTAGCCCTCACTCCTGCTCTCTCTTCTTGGTCAGGGGCCTGGGCTATTCCCAACCTCACTAGGCCTCAGTTTCATCTAGACAATGTTGACAACCTCTTAGGGCTTGCATGGACCGGCTCTACCTCCCCATTAGCCCTAAATCCAGTTGAAAATTCCGTCCCTCAGTCACACTAGCCACAGTCCAAGTGCTCAGCGACTACATGCAGCCAGCGGCTACCCGCAGGAAGTGCAGGTACAGAGACATTTCCAGCGCTGCAGAACATTCTGCTGGATCCTGTCACTGTGGTGGATCCTGAGCGCTCTAGACAAGGCCCTGCTATTTGTTTTGTTTTGGTAATTCTCATACAAGGATATTTTTTCATTGATTTTTTTTTTTTTTTTTTTTTTTTTTTTTAGAGAGTGGAAGGGAGAGGGAGAGACAGAGAGAAACATCGATGTGAGAGAGACACTGATTGGTTGCCTCCTGCACACTAGAGATTGAGCCTGCAACCAAGGAATGTGCCTTGAGCAGAATTAACCTGGGACCCTTCAGTGCATGAGATGATCTCCAACCAAGTGAGCTACACTGTCCAGGGCAAGGCACTGCTCTTTTTAGCTATTGATATTTTTACTAGTCGGGGTGGCCAACCTCGTCCCCTTCAGTCCCCCCAAACAAGTCACCTAGCCAAGCCCAGTCATTGCGGGGGGGCTATACAAGGTGTATGGATGCTGGGGTCCTATACTCCAGTGGTCTCCCACAGGGGATTGAGGGTTCCCTCTCTCAGAACCTGAGTTTGCTCACCTGTCCTGAGGCTGGAGAGAGCTGGATAACGGGCCTGGTGTGGCATGGGGCCTGTGGTGAGTCAGGGATGAAAGCGGTTAGATCAGAGATCCTCACACCTGAGCGTGCATCAGAACCACGGGGAGTGCCCTAGCGGTTTGATTCCGTGGATAGAGCATCAGCCTGCGAACTGAAGGTCCCAGGTTCAGTTCAGATCAAGGGCACATGCCTGGGTTGCGGGCTCAATCCCCAGTAGGGGGCGTGCAGGAGGCAGCTGATCAATGATTCTCACGCATCATTAATGTTTGTCTCTCCCTCTCTGAATCGAGAGAGAGAGAGAGAGAGAGAGAGAGAGAGAGAGAGAGAACACGAACACCACTGGGAGTGCTATTTCACCAGATTCCTGGCTCCCCCTCAGCACCCTCATTCAGGACGCCATGTGTGGTGAGGCCCACAGATTTGCAGTTCTAACAAGTTCCCACCAGCTGATGCTGTTAGTGGGGATCAGGGACCTTTTGTCTTGAACCACTGGGTTAGAGCATAAATTCTGGAACCAGGCAGCCTGGTTCAAATTCTTATCAGCTGTGTGACTCAACCAAGTCTCAGTTTCCTCACCTGTGAAATGTCACAATCTTCCTTCCCCTTCATGGAGGCTGCAGATTCAGCAAGACCGCAGGGCCTGGCTAGTGACAAGCTGTCTGTGATGGCACCCCTGACATGACACGTCTTACCTGTCCCCTCGCCCCCAGAGTGCGCCCCCACCGCTGTGTCCTAGTGGCCGCACCACAGACCTGGAGGCTCTGCTGGACGTGGTGGACAATGCCCGGAGCTTCATCTACATCGCAGTCATGAACTACCTGCCCACCATGGAGTTCTCCCACCCGCGCAGGTACTGCTGGTGGGTGGGCAGGGAGCCGGGGAGTGGGAGAGGGAGTGAAGGGCCCAGAAAGCAGGCAGTGGCGCCGAGGCAAGGGGACAGAGGGAGGTGAGGCGATGGGAGAGGCAGAGGAGACAGAGGTAACGGGGAGAGGGGCCAGAGAAAAGGATGAGAATATTGGGATGAGCGGGATGAGATGGGGCCTGGAGGCCAAAGGCAGGGGGTATAGGATTTCTGGAGGAAGGAAGCAGGGAGCATGGCTGGGACAGATGAGGGCTGGGGAATGGGGCTAAGGGTTTTCAGGTTTGGGGCGGCAGGGTTGGGGAGCTCAGAGAAAGTAGTAGGAGCAGCAGATGTGATGATGGAAAGCCTGGGTTTGGGGGGCAGGAAGGGGAGCCAGAATCGGGGTGTAAAGGATGTGGTATTTTAGGAGGCAGGCCCGGGAGTCAGAGATGAGTGGTCTTAGGGCTCAGGGGCTCTCAGGGCTGAAGCAGGGCCCAGGCCTCACTCCATGAAGCTGAGTGAGGCTGGTGGATGAGCCGCCCTCTGCACCCCATGTCCCGCCCCCAGGTTCTGGCCGGCCATCGATGACGGGCTGCGGCGGGCTGCCTATGAGCGGGGCGTCAAGGTGCGCCTGCTGGTCAGCTGCTGGGGCCACTCGGACCCGTCCATGCTGGCCTTCCTGCTCTCCCTGGCCGCCCTGCGCAAGAACCACACCCACTTTGACATCAAGGTGGTAAGCATGGCCCAGCCCTCGCCACAGCCCCGTCTGGGCGGCCAGAGCCCAGGGTGAACCTGCGGTGATGGGGAGACTGTGCGTGAGGCCCAGATTTTTGGGGGGAGAATGGGGGGCGGGTAGAGGGTGAGGGTGGGATGGGAGTGTCCAGAGGAAACAGCTGCCCAGCCTGAGGGGTCATGGAAGGCTGGCTGGACAGGGGGACATCTGAGGTGAGACCTAAGGGACGGTTCTAAGGAGCCCCCTAGGAGTCATGCTGGAGGGCATGGGGCAGGGGAAGTAGTTGGGCCCTCCCAGCTGGCGTTGCCCGAAAGCCACCCCTCCAGCCTGTTCTGGCCTGTGGGCTTCACGGAGTCCCCAGTCCTACAGACCTGCCCCCTCCCCACCCTCTGCTCCGGGGAACCTCTAACCCATCACCCCCCACACACACACACTGCTTCCATCCTCCCCTCTCCCCCAGAAATTCTTTGTGGTCCCTGTGGACAAGGCCCAGGCCAAGATCCCATATGCCCGAGTCAACCACAACAAGTACATGGTGACCGAAAGTACCGCCTACATCGGTGAGTGTCCGAGCACCGCAGGGGGTGGGGGAGGGTCCGGGCACCACCACCACAGGCCCTGACTCCGCCCCTGCCCTGTAGGAACCTCCAACTGGTCTGGCAGTTACTTCACCGAGACGGCTGGCACCTCGCTGCTGGTGAGCGGGGAGAATGGCCTGCGGAGCCAGCTGGAGGCTGTTTTCTTGAGGGACTGGGACTCCCTTTACAGCCACGACCTCAGTACCTCAGCTGCCAGCATGGGCAACGCCTGTCGCCTGCTCTGAGACCGTCCCAGCAGACAGGCCGAGGTCTTCACGGCCCTCACAGACCCAGAGGCCCTAGGTCATGGTCCTGTCCCCACAGCCCTGCTTCTGTCTGTCCCGTTGTGGCTCCAAAGGCCCCCTTGCTCTCCCACCTCTACCTTCGCCCCCAGCAGCCTGACGCTGTGGCCCCAGATCCCAGCTGAACCGGGGAGGGAGCAGCCCCAGAAGTGGGGTTTGCATGCTGGGCCAGTCTCCCTGCCTCCCCCCTCCCCAGGGCATAGCAGGCCCAGGTTCTAAGAAGTAAATAACTTGTCTGTACAATCTCTGCCTGACTGATTGGTGTGAGGTGGGTGTCGGGATCGGGGACAACCAGCATGGGCCTCTGGTGGGAACGTGAGCATGTACACGAGCTCTTAGCATGTGCTGGAATGTACCTAGCACATAGCATGTGACTGGCATGTGCTGAGTTTTCAGCAGGTGGCCTGCCATTGCTGAGCATACAGCATGTGGCCCACTGGTTTAGCATGTGCTGAGCTCTCAGCATGTAACCACACAGGCTGGCATGTGTGACTGGCATGTGCTGAGTCTTCAGCAGGTGGCCTGCTATTGCTGAGCATATAGCATGTGGCCCACTGGTTTAGCATGTGCTGAGCTCTCAGCATGTAACCACACAGGCTGGCATGTGTAACTGGCATGTGCTGAGTATGTGTGTACAACGGCGTGGTTGGTGTATGCTGAGCGTCCTGTAACCAGCATGGGTTAATGTGTGCCCCACACTTGGCATGCTCACAGCAGATGAACCATCGCCATATCCCAAGAGTGGACTCGAACGCCTGAACACGGGAACATGCACCAAGTATGAATTTGCCCAGCCAAGTGCATGGCCAGCCTGTAATGTAAAGGACAGGTAAACAGATATCTGGCAAGCTTGGATCGGCCCCTGCTGAACACAGTGTTCTGAGGATGGTTCTCGTGTGCTTGTGTGCCAAGCACTTCGCCATATTTAAGGATTGGGTCAGTGTGCCAAGCACAGCCTGTCCCAGTGTCACGGTAGCCCCGCCTCCAGCCCAAGCCAATGGCCAACTGGGTGCAGCATCAGAGAGCAGGCCTGGGCACCAACCTGAACATCCCCCTCCCCCCCAGCACCGGGACAGGCAGGGGGACAGGCGTGAGGCAGGGCTGTGAACAGCTCTTTATTGAAATAGGCAGAGACAACAGGGCCAAGACGTGCTCAGGGCCAGCAGGGTGCAGCACCGTTCTGTGCCCCTCTGACCGAGGTGGCCACAGGCCAGACACCAAGCCCTCCTGTGTTTGGGGGGGTGTGCAGGCATGTACTGTGGGGTGGGGGGGGGGATGGGAGTTTCTGGATAGCTTTCTGTAAGAATCTGTGGGTTCAGGGGATGGCTCTGAGGAAGGGAAGCCAGCCCAGCTAGCTCAGCCACCAGTGATGGGTAGCGATACGGTCACCATCAATGCTGCCCGCCCACATGCTGCAGAAAGCTGGCGGCCCGGGGTGGACCATGCGGGTGGGTATGACGGGTTGGGAGCCCCTGCGCCCGTGGGCCCCTGATGCCCTCCAGGGTCCAGTCAGGCTCGCTAAGCCATTCTCCAGGACAGGTGCTGGGGTCGAAGAGCTCAGGACTCGGCCTCTGTGGGGTAGAAGAGAGGGCATCAGCCAAGAAGCCACCAGCCTGGTGGTTCCTCGTGGACACCCTCTGTCCCACCCGAACCCTTGTCACTTCCTGAAGACCATTCTATACCATTGCAACCCTCGTCACATCCTGGGCTTCGCTAGTGTGTGCTGAGGCCAGTGTGTCCTGGGGTGTGTAGGTCTGCTGGGGCTTTGTCACCTCTTCCTGAGGCTGGGTGAGTGTGCTGGGCCTTCTCACTTCCTCCAGGTGGGTTACTGTGCCCTGCGTTTTCACACAACCTGGCGGCTTGTCAGTATGGGCAGAGCCACGTCATCCTAATTTTATCCCGAGTTTTGGGTTAGCATGTGCGGAGCCCTGTTATATGTTGAGGCTGGGCCAGTGTGTGTTGGGCTCTGAACCGGCTGTTGCTAACACAGGGAGCCAAGACCAGGTTCCCCCCCGCCCCGCCCCCCGAAGCCCTGTGGGCACCCCTGACCCCAGATCCCCCTGCACCCTCCGGCCCCCTGGCTCACCTCAGCATCCATGTCCCTGATGTCGGGCCCGTCCCCGTCCCGCTTGGGGATGGTGGGCGGCTTGGCAGAGGCGCCGCGGTGCTCGCCCTCGGCCCAGCCGCTGCCCCGGCAGGGCCCCTCGTCCTCGGGCGAGGCCTGGCTCAGCCGGATGAGGTTGCTGAAGTTGGAGTCGGACTTGGAGCCCGTGGGCGGCTTGCGGGCCTTATGGCGGCCGACCAGACGGCTGCCGTAGAAGGCCAGGATGGGCTCGGGGCCCGCGTCCGGCACCCGCAGGCCGGCCACGGCCGCCTTGAGTGGGGCCAGCGCACTGGGGGCCTCGCCCCACAGCCCGTGGCCCGCCTCCTGCAGGCTCAGGTCGTCCAGCTGGTCGATGGCCTTCTGCATGCCCGGGGCCTTCTCGCGGAAGAAGGGCCCGCTGCCCGCCACGCCGCCCAGACCCACGGCCTCCTCCTCCTCGGCCAGGCGGTAGTAGGGGGGGGGCCCGTCCTCCGAGGCGGCCACCACGGGCGCGGGAGGCTTGCCCTCCACCTGCAGCGAGAGGCGGCAGCTGCGCAGCGACAGCTGGTAGTAGCGCGTGGCCTCGTGGGCGCTGCGCAGCTGCTGCATGGACACGAAGGGGTGGCGCAGGGCCGCGTTGGGGCTGATGCGCTCGTGCGACTCCCAGGTCAGCATGCGCTTGATCAGCTCCACCATGCTCTTGAGGTCGGCGTGCTCGGCCAGCGCCTCCCGGTCCTGGAAGGTTAGCCGCCCGGCCGCCCCGCCGCCGTTCACCGTCTCAATCTGGTCCAGCGACTTGAGCATGTACTTGCGGCGCTCCAGTGGGCGTACCTGGTGGGACACAGCGGGCAGGGGTTAGCCTTGGGCCCCAGTCACTCCTGTAACTCCCAGCAGGCCCTGCAGTCTGGCCCAGAGCTCTCCTGCTGCTATGAAGTCCACACATCTGATTCCAGACCTGCCTGTGAGCTGACTGGAAGCCCTCCTGATGCTGGAAGGGCCAAACCTGGTTCCTCTAGTCGAACCCTGCGCCCCGCTCCTGCTGGAAGCACACCTGCCTATTGTCATCTCACCCAGTTACCCTCACTCAAGTTTCACCCCTCGTCCCAGACCGCCAGTCCTCCCCGAGCTGTGGGCCAGCCTCTGCCAGCGAGCAGCTAGCAGAGGAGCCGCCCTGAGCCTCCAGTCCTCCTGGAATCAAACCCAGGCCCCGTTGCTGCTACAGCTCCCACACTCCGTCCCAGGCCTCCGGGCCTCCCAGTGGTTGAACCTCTTTGCCACACTAGCTTGACAACCGCCAGGCAAGGAGCCCTCAGAGGAGCTGCCACATCCTCTCGGTCTCGTCTTTCCCCTCTTGTGGCAGGTCCTGCAGCTGACCCGGACTTCCAGTCCTCTGCAGTCTCACAGACTCCGCGCCGGCAGCAGCCACAGTGGCGGCAGGCAGGCTGCCTTATTGCCCAGTCCCACCTGGGCCTCATGTAGATCCCGCACACTGCATGGGTTTGCCTGACCCAGATCTGAACTGGCAGAGGGGCCACCCTGCCCTTTCTGTCTCATCCTGGTATAATCCAGATCCCTCTTGCTGCAGCAGCCCCCAGAGTGGCCCTCAAACTTCCAGTCCCACCGTTGATCTCATCCAGATCTCTCTTATGACAATCCCCACAGCTGACCCAAGCTTCCAGACCTCCCTGAGGGCTAACCTAGGAGGGAAATGCTATGCTGGTCTCGTTTTATAGACGAGGAAACGGGGGCACAGAGAGGTCAAAGACACTTGTCCCAAGTCACACACCTTGGAAGACAGAGCACAGAGCTCAGATTCAGACGCTTACTAAATACAGGCACTTTTTCTAAGTGCTTTAGATGTGTTAACTCTTTTTTTTTTTTTTTTTTTTTTTTTATCAATCTTTATTGTTCATATTATTACAAAGGTTCCTCATTTCTTCCCCCCTCCACCAGGTTCCCACCCCACCCTCCGTCCCCCCCCCATTGTCCTCATCCATAGGTGCAGTTTATGTTCAGTCTCTTCTTCCCTCAATTTCCCCAATAGTAAATCCCTTTTCAGATAGTAAATCAGTTATTTAGCATTTTCTCATATCAATAATACCTCCACATGCCCAATGATACACTTCACACAAAAGACATTTCCCTCTAGGTCAACCAGCCTCATCCAGGCCCCACCCAAGGCACTCACAGATCAACACCCCAGTCCTAAACTAACTCAACACATCCAGATCTAAGCCTTCATCACTTGATTCAGCAGACCCTTAAGTTCCCACGAAAGTTTCCAGCCATGTCTGAGAAGCAGCCGTGGGGCAGGGGCAGGCAAGGAGCGAGCTGTTCTGGGCCTGGCTGCTCAGGGCCTGGCCTCTGTTGCTCTGGTTCATTCCACAATCAGCTGCTCCGGGTCTGGTCACTGCCGCTCCCAACCTAGTTGCTCTGGACTTGGTTGCTGCTGCTCCGGGCCTAGCCGCTCCCAGCCTGGCAGCTGCTGCTCCGGGCCTGGCCGCACCCGACCCGGCTGCTCCCCCGGGCCTGGCCGCTCCCAGCCTGGCAGCCGCTGCTCCGGGCCTGGCCGCACCCGACCCGCCTCTCCCCCGGGCCTGGCCGCTCCCAGCCTGGCAGCCGCTGCTCCGGGCCTGGCCGCACCAGCCCCGCCTGCTCCCCCGGGCCTGGCCGCTCCCAGCCTGGCAGCCGCTGCTCCGGGCCTGGCCGCACCCGACCTGCCTGCTCCCCCGGGCCTGGCCGCTCCCAGCCTGGCAGCTGCTGCTCCGGGCCTGGCCGCACCAGCCCCGCCTGCTCCCCCGGGCCTGGCCGCTCCCAGCCTGGCAGCCGCTGCTCCGGGCCTGGCCGCACCAGCCCCGCCGTGTTAACTCTTTTTAAAAAAAAAAAAAAATACATTTTTACTGATTTCAGAGAGGAAGGGAGAAGAAGAGAGAGATTGGAACATCAATGATGAAAGAGAATCATTGATCGGCTGCCTCCTGCATCAGTCCTACTGGGACCGAGCTCAAAACCTGGGTATGTGCCCTGACAGCCCCGACCGGGAATCAAACCGTGACTTCCTGGTTCATAGGTCGACGCTCAACCACTGAGCTGTGCTGGCTGGGCTAGGTTTTCTTTATGCAGCAGCCCCCCACTCTGCCGCCCTCATTGCGCCTGCCCCCTACCTTGGTCTCAGCCAGGTAGTCAGCCGAAGACTTGAGCTGCCAGGGGTTGGCGGCGTCAGGGTGGAGGTTGCGCTTGAAGAAGTGGTGGGCCTTGCGAGCGGCGTGCAGCAGGTGGGGCTTGGGCAGGCCCTGCGTCTCACAGATGTAGCGCACCTGGTCATACTCATTATTGCCAGGGTAGAGCGGCCAGCCCAGGTGCAGCTCGGCCATGACACAACCCAGCGACCACACGTCCACTTTCTCACAAAAGGGCAGTCCCAGCAGGATCTCGGGGGCCCGATAGAAGCGCGACTGGATGTACGGCTCCTTCACGTAGCGCACCTCGCTGAAAATGCTGGCCGAGCCGAAGTCGATCACCTGTGTGGGAAGGGAGGTGGGCAAGGCATGGGGTGGGACCACACATCCGGGCCTCGGTGGGCATCTCTCCCCAGTATGTGTCTGCGTCTGCCATCTGTCTGTCACTGTGTGTTAGTTAGTCTTACTCCTGTCTCCTCCAGCCTCTGTCTCTGCTTTGTGTGGGTGTGTTTCTGTTCTCTCCACCAGAACGTATGTCTGTGGCATTAAAGCCCCTCTCCTGCTCTCTCACCCCACACCTTGTCCATCAGCAAATTTTGTTGGTTCCACCCTCTGAGCAGATCAGGAATGTGCATCGAAGCCACAGCCCCACCTGATCCTGCCTCCATCACTTCCTGCCTCGACAGCTCTCCCTGCTCCCGCCCTCGGCCCCCCAGTCTGTTCCTCCCATGTGCTCTGAGAGATCCTGTGAACACGGCGTCGGGTCGCGTACCTCCCCGCTCAGCATCCTCTGTGGCTTTACTACATCCTGTGATAAGAGTCAAAGTTCTCACACAGGCCCGAGGCGCCTACAATTTGCCCATCTCCTCTCTGCCCTCAGCTCCTCCCACTTCCCCTCACTCACCCTGCTCCCGTGTCCACAGGAGCTCTCACTCTTCCTGAATAAGCCGGATATACTCCCAGCGAAGCCTGGGCCCTGGCTGTGTCTTCTGCCTGGAATGCTCTTCCCTTGGATGTCCACACAGCGCCCCTCCCTTCCTAGGTCTCTACTCCAGTCACCTTCTCAGTGAGGCCTCCCCCCAACCATCCTATCAAAAGCCAGCCTCCTTGCCCCTCCTCGTCCCCTTCCTGGCCCTCTGCTTTTCTCCACGGCTCTTACCACCATTTCACAAACTATAGATTTTACATTTTTATTGAGTTCATTGCTTTTTTAACCAACTAGGATTTGAGTCCCATGAAGGCAGGATTTTGTCTGTTCACTGCTGAGTCCCTAGATGCCTTGAACAGTGACTGGCACAGAGCAGGAGCTCAGAATGAGTGAATGAGTGAATGAGTGAATGAATGAATGAGTAATTGAATTTTTAAAAAATCTCTCATTGTCTTTCTGTCTCCTTTGTATCTCTTGTTCTTTCTTTGCCACTTCATGGCTTGTCTGTCTCTCCGCCCTCAGCATTTCTCGCCATGTGTCTCTAAGTCACCCACTGGAAAGACACCTCCTGGCAGCCCACACCCTCCTCATTCCCAAACACTGCTAACACCCACAAAGGCCTGCCATCCATCCAGCATTGACGCCACAGCAGTGCTGTGCTGGGAGGGGCCACGGGCACAATGGTGACCAAAATTGCTGGGCTCTGCTCTCATGGCACTCTTAGCTCCTATCATCAGGGGACAATAACAAACCCAGAAGGTCAGGGGTGGGATGGGGAGCCCAGACCCTTGCACCCAGCACAGGATCAGGCCCAGAGCAGGCATTCAGAGAGTGTTTGTTGACAAGCAGACTCACTGTGACGAGGTATGGCACTGCCATCCTTCCAGTTGTTCAGGCCAATAGGCTTTGGTGCCCCCTCATGTCCTCTCTTCCACTTCATATGAGATCCACCAGCAAACCCCGTTGTCCCCAGTTCCAAAATCTATTCGGACCCACCCGTGCCCCTCCTCCCACTACCCCCCACAAGTCTAGTCCCGCCCAGCCACGCCTCCCACCTGGCCTGGTGCAGTCACCCCTCACTGTCTTCCTGCTCCTCACAACCAGAGCGTCCAGAGCTGGGGAAGGCCGGGAGGAGACAGAACAGGAGAGGCTGCCACCCACTTACCTTGACCCTGAAGGGGCAGCGCGTCTGGTCCACCAGCATGATGTTCTCAGGCTTGAGATCGGCATGGATGATGGCCAGTTCCTTGAGCCGGGCCAGGGCTCTGAGCACCTGCAGGGTGACCGTGCGGATGTGGCGGGCGGGAAGAGGCGCAAAGTTGTTCTCCTTCTGAAATTCAAAAAGGTTTTGCTCCAGCAGCTCAAACACCAGGTAGAACTTGAGAGCGTCGTGGAAGAACTCGAGGAAGCGGATGACGTGGGCCTCCTCGGGGTCCAGGCCCCGCATGCAGCGCAGCAGCTTCAGCTCGTTCTTGATGATGCGGCTACGGTAGGCGTCGTTCTTGAGGATCTTGATGGCCACCATCTCGCCCGTGCTGCGCCGCCAGCCCTTGGCCACCTCCCCGAAGGTGCCCTTGCCCAGCACCTCGATGATGTCGTAACAGTCAGTCTCCGACTGGATGGTGGTCATGGTGCCCTGGCTGCCGGACACCACTCTGCCACCACCTCTGCCCCACCTCTGTCTCCGAGGCCTCCCGGCCCACCCCCCGCCTCTGTCCCCGACGTACCCCCAGCGGGGGAAAGAGAACCTCACTCGTGTCTACCCCTGTGAAGTTTGCCCTCACCTCCTGGGCACCTTACAACCCCCTAGGCCACACGGGGAATATGCCAAGAGTTACACCCCTCCCCCAAAGCCCTCTTGGCTTGGGACGAGGGGCCTCAGGCCCCCCTAAATGTGTTCCAGCGTTGCTGAGTGGCTCCAGTTCTGTTGTTGGAGACCTCAACCCCTCGGTGGAATGGGGGGTGGGGTGTCAGGCCAAGCCCCCTCCCCCACCCAGTGGCGGAACCTTGAAGAGGTTGGACAAGTAGAGGATCCTTTGAGAGGGGAGTCTGATGGTGGACCTCAGGCAGAAGCAGGAGCATTCCCAGACCAAGGTGAGAAAAGGCAGGCTTTCCTAACGAAAGGGAAGTGTGTGTGTGTGTATGTTTTCAGAAAGTACCTGCCCAGCCTGGGCTGGCATGGGGGAAGGTGTGGCCGAAGTGGATGCAGGTTGAGTGCCAAGCTAAGAAGTTTGGACATTGTCCTGAGGGCACGGAGGAGTTACAGAGGACTTTTAAGCATCAGAAAACTACTTGTGTGGAGAAAGCTGAATTAGAGGGAGCAAGAGCGGAGGCCCTGAGCCTGCAGGAGGCCCAGGTGGTAGAGGTTGGGGAGACAGGGAAGAGGCTTGTGGATGAGACATTCAGGAGGCCAGGAAGGCACTAACACATTGGGGAGGAGGGCGGTGTCCCAGAAATGGGGGCATGGACAGAGCACTTTGGAGGAGAAGATGCTAAGGTCAGGTTAGGAAATTTAATATTGAGTGCTTTAGAAGCCTTACCCTTACAACACACATTTTATTTATTTGTTTTGATTTATTTCAGAGAGCAAGGGAGGGAGAGAGACAGAAACATCAATGATGAGATTCATCCATTGGCTGCTGCCTGCACACCCCCCACTGGGGATCGAGTCCTAAACCCAGGCATGTGCCCTGACCAGAACTTGAACCATGACCTCCTGGTTCATGGGGCAGTGCTCAACCACCGAGCCATGCTGGCTAGGCACACCATCCATTTTATTTTATTTTTTTACATTTTTTATTAAATTATTATCTGTGTACATATTTTAACATTGCCCCCTCCCTCCCAGCACTATACATTTTAATAGCTCCATTTAATTGAAGAAAAAGGTTGGGTGCCAGAGACAGGCTTTGACCTTGAGAAGTATGGCTCTAGAGCCAAGCTCTGAACCACCACTTCACACGCCCTCCTAGTGCCCTCGAGCACCCAGAAGAGAATTTGGGAACTCACCCAGAGGTGAGGAGCAGAAGCCTCTGGGAGGGTGACAGCCCTAGGATGGGTGTGGGAGGGATGAGGGCCTGGGAGGAGCCCAAGGGGCTCAAGGAAAGAGAGGGGAGTGTTCAGGAAGGAGGAAGGGGCCTGAGAAGCCAGGGCAAAGGAGACAGAGGAAGCCCTTAGTGGGATCACGGAGAAGTCATTTCAGACACTGGACCAGGTAGCCACTGTGGGAGGAAACCCCCCGGCTACAGAGCTGAGCTGGTCCAGGGGCGGGTGTGCCATGAGGGCAGGTAACTCCTGCACGTTTGGCAGAGACAAAGAAAGCATGAGAAAGGGTTAGTGGCCCGATGGGGCAGGCTTGAAGGGAGAAGGAGTGGAGTAAGTGGGGGGGGGGGGGGGGGGGTCTGTGACAATCAAGGACACGGCCCTTCATCCTCTGGGATGGGAATAGCGTGGAGGGTTGGGTATGGGGCATCAGGGGGAGATTTGGAATGGGAAAGCGTGTCTTCCTAGTAGTCTGGGGCATGGCAGAGAGATGGGGGAGGGGAGGGTGTCTGTAGGCCCTGGCAAGAGTTTAGGTGCATAAATCCAGAGTGAGGTGGGGTCCCTGGGAGCCGAGATTGAGTACCCAGGACCTAGTCCTACGAGGCAACTGTAAGTGGAGGCTCTGAACCCAAGAGCTTGGAGAGGCCGGGGAGAGGCTTCCTGGGTGGGGCCGGGTGGACCAGGCTGTCAAACCAGCCAGACGGAAAAGGAACAGCCAGGATGCAGAGGCGCGCTTGTTGGTGAAGTGGCCAGCAGAGGGCAGGTGGGTAGCAATCAGGCTGCTCTCGGCCCCTGGGGCTGTCCCGGCCTGTGTGGGGTTCCCCAGGGCAGGCGGAGTCCCCAGCAGAGGGGTCCTGCCGCTATGCTCTGCGGGGAACTTCCCAGAGTCCTGCTCATGGCCCCTAGGGTTTCTGAAGGGCGACAGGCCCCTCCCACTAGGCCCCTCCCAAGGCCTCCCTGACTCTCCTCAGACCAGAGGTGGCCCGTGTCTCCCCCACACAGGCTCCTTCAGGCCAGGATCATGGCCCCCGCTCCTTCCTTCTCTGGGATTCTTTTCTCTGCACCCTTCCTCACTCCCCACACCCTCCCAGTACACAGAGAAGACCAGACACTATGCCACCTCTGGATTATTTATTCACATGACTTGGCAAGATACAGACACTCTTGCCAATGAGCCGGGCAGGAGACCTCCGCGCTCCTGCCCTCTGGGGGTTAGTGCTGGTTAACTCACACACAAAGGGGTGGGGTGGGGAGGTAGGAGGGAGCTTCAGATGACAGCAGTCTGAGTCCCCTCCATCCTGGCGGGGCCTGGAGCTCCAGTCTCCGAAAACCCCACGCTGGGCAGTCGGACCCGGAATCCACCCTCTTCGCGGTCCCTGCTCCCGCTCCGGGCCTTGGGGCTGAGGGAGACCCTGGGGAACCGGAACTTGGGGGACTTCTCCCCGCCAGGAGACTTGGAGGCTGCCTCGCCATCCTGCCCCCGAGAGGCCTTGGAAGAAGTGGCCAGACCCACACGAGGCAGGCGAACCCGTAGGCGGCCGCGGCGACCAGAAGCCCCGTCCCTGCTGCCCTCCTCGTCCCCCGCCTCCTCCTCCCCCTCCTCCGGGCTGGGGGAGCCTTCCCCAGAAACAGCCTCGCTCTGGCCGAAGCCCACCCGGGGAAGCCTGAGCTTCGGGCTCTTGGCCTTCTCGCCCTCCTCACCCCCCTCCTTGGCCCGCACCAGGCCAAACCGGGGCAGCCGAACCTTGAGCTTGTGTCCGGCGTCTCCCTCACCCTCTACCACCTGGTACTCGGCGTGGCTGCCCATGGCAGGGGGCGAGAGCTCCAGGCTGGGCAGTGAAAGGTGGAAGGACCGGTCGACCCCTGGGGGCTGGTCTCCAGGTGCTCCGACTCCAGCCCCAGCTCTGGCCCCCATTGTGGGCATCTTCAGCCTCAGCCCACCCTCATCTGTGGCCGCCTCGCCCACCTGCCCCTCTCGGCCCAGCCCCATATCCAGTTCCAGCTGGGGCACCGTCACCGTGGGCATCCTGAAGACACCCTCTCCCACCAGCAGCTCACCACCCTCCCCCTTGGCTTCCGGCAGAGACAGGGTCACCTGAGGCACCTGCACCCTGTAGCCCGCGGGGCCCTCAGCCTGCTGCGCGGTGGCTGCACCCAGGCCGGCCTCACTGAATCCCGTCAGCTCCACCTGAGGCAGGGAGATGCCCACGGGCACCCGTAGCACCCCCTCCTGGCCCTCGGCGCCTGCCTGCCTGGTTGTGGACACTTGCAGGCCTGACAGCCGTGCCCCGCGGGCGGCCACCATCCCCTCCGCCCTCACTTCCTCCTGGGCCCCCAAAGTCACCAGCTCCACCTCAGGGATCTTAAGCTGTCCGGCCATCGACTCTGCCTTTTCTCCTGGGCTCACACGCCCACCCTGGATTTCTGCCTCCTTCCCCCGAGCCAGCCCAAAGGAGGGCATCTTCAGTTTGGGAATCTTCATCCTCCCATCCCAACCCCAGCCCTTGCCCTCCAGCTCAGACACCCCTGGCATGAGTTCTCCAGCCTCGGTGTCCCGAACCCTGACCCCAAACTTGGGCAGGGTAAACCTGGGGCCCCTGAGCTTGTAATCGGCCCCTGCCACCTCCACCTTGCCTGTGGGCAGATGGGCATCCAGGCTGAGCTGCGGGATGGACAGATCGAGAGCGGGCAGCAGGCCTGCCTCCCCGACCCCTTTAGCTTCAACCTCAGTTCCCACCCGAGCCTTGGGGAGTGAGATGGCGAACTTGGATGCCTTCAGCTTGGTGGCTTGTCCAGCCCCCTCAGCCTCTGCCTTGGCCGCCTTGGCCCCGGAGAGTCCAAACTTGGCCAGGGAGAACCTGGAGGGGGGTTTGACTTTCATCTCCGTCACCTCTGCCCTCCCTTCCTCGACTTCCACGGTGGGCAGCTGTGGAGCGACAATCTCCACGGAGGGCACCCGGAAGGCCACTTCCCCGAGCCCGGCTGCCGCCTTGCCCTCGGCCCATTCCACCTTGCCCTCTGCCTGTGCTGCCTTGCCTTCTGCTCGCTCCACCTTGCCCACTTCAGCCGCTGGGACCTGTCCCTCCAGGCTGAGTGCTCTTGGCAGGTCCAGCTCCACTGAGGGCAGCGTGAGGGAGGGGACACCCCCACGAGCCTCGCTGTCCACCTCTGGCTGTAGGCGGGGAAGTGTCACCAGCTTCCCTGAGACTGCAGCCCCTGCCTCGCCTGCCTTGCTTCGTGACGGGGACCCTGCCCTCCCTAACCTGGGCAAGGTCATCTTGGGCATCTTGAAGCTGAATTCCACCCCCTCCACCTTCTCTGCCCTGGCAGCTTTGAGCTGCACCTCTGGAGCCTTGGGCAGCTTCACCTCGGGGGCCTTTGGCAGCTGCACCTCTGGGAGTCGCACCTCGGGCACGGCCATCTCGGGCACCTTCATCTCGGAAACTTTGGGAAGTCCCACCTCTGGGAGACGCACCTCGGGCACCGCCATCTCGGGCACCTTTGGCAGCTTCATCTCGGAGACTTTGGGAAGTCCCACCTCTGGGAGACGCACCTCGGGCACCGCCATCTCGGGCACCTTTGGCAGCT